TATCCTTCTTTCTTCCTCTTTCTTTCTGTCTTTCTGTCTGTCTTTCTGTTTGTCTTTCGTTCTTTTTTTCTTTCTGTGTTTCTTTCTTTGTGGCTTTATGTCTTTCTTTCTTTCTGTCTGTCTTTCTTGCTGTCTTTCTTTGTGGCTTTCTGTCTTTCTTTTCTTGTTTCTCTCTCTCTCTCTTTCTTTGTGTGTTTCTTTCTTTGTGGCTTTCTGTCTTTCTTTCTTTCTGTCTGTTTTTCTTTGTGGCTTTTGTGCCTTCCTTTCTTTCTGTTTGTCCTCATTTTTTGCATTTCTTTGTGGCTTTCTGTCTTTCTTTCTGTCTTTCTTTGTGTGTCTTTGTCTGGCTTTCTGTCTTTCTTTCCTTCTTTCTTTCGCTCTTTCTTTCTGTCTTTCTTTCTTTGTGGCTTTCTGTCTTTCTTTCTTTCCTTCTTTCTTTTTTCTGTCTTTCTTTCTGGCTATCCGTCTTTCTTTTTTTTCTGTCTCTATATCTCTTTCTTTTTTCTCTTTTTCTTTCTTTCTCTCCTTCTTTCTTTCTTTCTTTCTTTCTTTCTTTCTTTCTTTGTGGCTTTCTGTCTTTCTTTCTTTCTTTCTTTTTGTGGCTTTCCGTCTTTCTTTCCTTTTTTTCTCTCTCTCGCTCTCTCTCTCTCTCTCTCTCTCTTTCTTTCTGGTCTTTCTTTCTGCCTCTCTTTCTGTCTTTCTTTCTTTCTGTCTGTCTTTCTTTCTGTCTTTCTTTGTGGCTTTCTGTCTTTCCTTCTTTCTCTCTCTCTCTCTCTCTTTCTGTCTTTCTTTCTTTGTGGTTTTCTGTCTTCTTTCTTTCTGTCCGTCTTTCTTTGTAGCTTTCTGTCTTTCCTTCTTTCTCTTTCTCTCTCTCTTTCTGTCTTTCTTTCTCAGAAAGGGACGCTATAGGGGCCCCTGTTTTACAGTGTTTCTGAAAACGCGGTGATTTCAGACATGTCACGCAAATTTATCAGAATTGAGGTTTGTTCCTCCATTTGATAACTCCATTTGTCTTGTTTGTCCTTATTAGATAACAAGAGCAGGTCAAAATTGTGCTTATCTTGGGGGGTCGCAAAGCCATGAGTTTGAAATGGGCGCAGTTTCGAGGGTTTCTGGAGATGGGAGGGCCTTCTTTTTTTTTGGCGGCCCCCCCCTCCCGGGACCCCCCCCCAGACAAAGACGCACCCCAGGATTAGAAGTGGTTGCTAGAAGCCCTGTTAGCTGCAAAAAAACTCTGTAACTAGCACCGACATTGATTGCTGCTTTGCCTTCACCTTTAGTGAGCAAACACCTGTAGCAACAAAGGGCTTGGTTGCACTGAGGCTATAGTTCTAGCACAACACAGTTTTTGCATTTCGCTTGTGGGCCCAGTTGCGTGTAGTACTCTCATGGCTTGTCTTGTGCGTCACACTCCCGAAGGTAATTCAGTTGGGGAGGACAGGATAGAATATTTCTGTGTACCTGGCTTTGACATACAGCCTTGTGTGTCAAGCATTAGGCCAATGTGCAGCAGCGTCATCATGCTGCTAGCTTGCTATGGGTAGCATGGAGGCTCTAGCTGGCACTAGACATGGATACCTCGGTTCTGTGAAATTTGTGTTTTTCCACCAAAAAGCCTTGTTTTTCTCATGTGGCGCAGAGCATTCCTGTGTTCCATTGTTTCTTGTTTTTATGAACATGTGGTTTTGTTGACCATGAGACCTACTTATCAGAAATTGTGTTGATGACCTGTGGGAGGTGCAAGTAGAATAAGTTATTCTCTTACATCCTCTCATGCCAGCTGTTGCATGCCGCCAGCAAACATAGGAGCTCGACAACCTATCCCTGGTGAGGTAGAAATTAATGTTGCCCACTTGCAGGCGGTCTGCCTCACCACTCACATTTCATGATCTATTGGCAATACGACTAGTGATCTGCACGCAATTCAGCATATCAAGGGAAGAGAACACCCGATATGAGCTACCAGAAATCCATGGCCAAGGGAAAGGTTCAATCCTCAAGCTCAGGTAGCATGGTAGCCTGTGGTAAGTGCATTTCTGTCACAAAGTGGGGGAAGGTGCCTCACCACAACTTGCAGAGGCCTTCATTCCACGAACCCCTTGGTGAGCTATAGGCATGCAAGGTGGAAATCCAAGATTCTCGTTCCAGCAAATGTTTCTGATGACCCAGAAGGGGTTTCTGGCAACTGAAGGTAGTGACCTATGGTTGGTTGCGTCATTCAGGTAGGAACCTCGGGCCCCTGACTCCCACATGATGGGGGGGTGCGTCAAGATTCCTGCTGTACCGCTACATGGCGTTTAATGTTGGCAAGCCCTTGGGCTCTCTGATTCTTAATTGTTTGGGGTGACAAGATCTGACACTTCTGAAGACCTTTCGCACGTCAAATTAAGCACAGATGCAGCAGAATGGATTCACATTACTCTTTTCGGCGGGCTCAGATATAAAAAAAGCAGAAAACAAATGAAAACGTTGCGTCCCACTCTCTTCTTTCTGTCTTTCTTTCTTTGTGGCTTTCTGTCGTTCTTTCTTTCTTTCTTTCTTTCTTTCTGTCTTTCTTTCTTTCAGCCTTTCTTTCTTTCTGTCTTTCTTTCTTTGTTTCTTTTTGTTTTTGTTTGTTTCTGTCTTTCTTTCTGGCTTTCTGTCATTCTTTCCGTCTTTCTTTCTTTGTGGCTTTTTGTCTTTCTTTGTTTCTGTCTGTCTTTCTTTGCGGCTTTCTGTCTTTCTGTGTAGCTTTCTTTCTGTCTTTCTTTCTGTCTTTGTTTCTTTGTGTCTTTCTGTCTTTCTTTGCTTTTGTCTTTCTTTCTGTCTTTCTTTCTTTGTTGCTTTCTGTCTTTCTTTCTTTGTGGCTTTCTGTCTTTCTTCCTTTCTGTCTTTCTTTCTTTTTTTCTTTCTTCGTGGCTTTCTTTCTGTCTTTCTTTCTTTCTTTCTTTCTTTCTTTGTTTCTTTGTTTTTTTTTGTTTCTTTCTCTGTTTCTTTCTTTCTTTCTTTCTTTCTTTGTGGCTTTTTTCTTTCTTTGTTTCTTTCTTTGTGTCTTTCTTTCTGTCTTTCTTTCTTTCCTTCTTTCTTTCTTTGTGGCTTTTTGTCTTTCTTTGTTTCTGTCTGTCTTTCTTTGTGGCTTTCTGTCTTTCTGTGTTTCTTTCTTTGTGTCTTTCTTTCTGTATTTCTTTCTTTCTTTCTTTCTTTCTTTCTTTCTTTCTTTCTTTCTTTCTTTCTTTCTTTGCTTCTTTGTTTTTTTGTTTCTTTCTCTGTTTCTTTCTTTTCTTCTTTCTTTCTTTCTTTGTGGCTTTTTGTCTTTCTTTGTTTCTGTCTGTCTTTCTTTGTGGCTTTCTGTCTTTCTGTGTTTCTTTCTTTGTGTCTTTGTTTCTGTCTTTGTTTCTTTGTGTCTTTGTTTCTGTCTTTGTTTCTTTGTGTCTTTCTGTCTTTCTTTGCTTTTGTCTGTCTTTCTTTCTGTCTTTCTTTGTGGCTTTCTGTCTTTCTTTCTTTCTTTCTTTCTGTCTTTCTTTCTTTGTTGCTTTCTGTCTTTCTTTCTTTCTGTCTTTTTTCTTTGTGGCTTTCGGTCCTTTTTTCTTACTGTCTGTTTCTTTCATTCTTTCTTTCTTTCTTTCTGTCTTTCTTTCTTTGTGGCTTTCTGTCTTTCTTTCTTTCTGTTTTTCTTTGTGGCTTTCTGTCTTTCTTTCTGTCTCTCTTTCTGTATTTCTTTCTTTGTGGCTTTCTGTTTGTCTCTTTCTGTTTTTCTTTCTTTGTGGCTTTCTGTCTTTCCTTCTTACTGTCTGTCTTTCTTTCTGTTTTTCTTTGTGGCTTTCGTTCTGTTTGCTTTTCTGTGTTAGTTTATTTCTGTCTTTCTTTTTGTTTTTCTTTCTGCTTTTCTTTCTGTCTTTCTTTTGGTCTGTGTTTCTTTGTGGCTTTCTGTCTTTCTTTCTGCGTTTCTGTCGTTCTTTCTGTCTGTCTTTCATTCTTTGTGGCTTTCTGTTTGTTTTTTTGTTTCTGTCTGTTTTTCTTTCTATCTTTCTTTCTTTGTGGCTTTCTGTCTTTCTTTCTTTCTGTGTGTCTTCGTTTCTGTCTTTCTTTGTTTCTGTCTGTCTTTGTTTCTTTCTATCTGTCTTTCTTTGTAGCTTTCTGTCTTTCTTTCCTTCTTTCTTTCTGTCTTTCTTTCTTTGTGGCTTTTGTGTCTTCCTTTCTTTCTGTTTGTTTTTTTCTGTCTTTCTTTGAGGCTTTCTGGCTTTCTTCCTTTTTTTATTTCTTTCTCTTCTCCTTTCTTTCAGTCTTTTTTTGTGGCTTTTTTGTTTGTCTTTCTGTTTATGAGTGTTTCTTTTTCTCGGTCTTTCTTTCTGTGTGTC